CCCCCCCCCTTCCCCTTTCCCCCAGAAAGACAAAACACAAGCAAATACACAAACAAAAAAACGACAAACAAAGAAAGAAAAACACAGAAGAAACAGGATACCACAGGGAATTCACTAAAGAGGACGACGTCTGATAGACACGGCGAAACAGCAAAACGCATGCTTGGCTGTCGAGGGACTTTGTCTAAAGTAACTTAAGTATGTCTTTGAGAATGGGTCAGAACCTGGGGAGAAGCTTCCAATTCAGACAGGAGTCTCAAAACACTACTGAGTAATCTAGTAACACCCATAGACCCCAAAGTGAATAGTAGCAGAATCAACTTAAGGGGCTTTCAATTCCCCTTTTCTCTTTCCAGACCCTAACGCCCACAGCTGTCTCCTGGGCAGCTAGTCGAATTAGTCTACGCCAAGGGAATCAATGCCAATTTGCTGGCAATCAAGTCTTTTGGTTTCTCTGCTCCTCTTCGCTCTCTCTTTCTCTCACTGTCTCTGTCTCTCTGTCTCTCTGTCTCTCTCTCTCTCTCTCTCTCTCTCTCTCTCTCTCTCTCTCTATGTGTCTCCGTCTCTTTCTTCAATCTCTCTGTCTATCTGTTTGCCTGTCTGTTTGTTTGTCTGTCTGTCTGTAAGTCTGTTTGTCTGTCTATGTCTTTGCCCCCCCCTCCCATTTCTTATTTTCTAAAAAATATGCTAATATAATTTCTTGACAACAATAAATACGTCTAATATATCGATGAGCTAAGAAAGCATTGCAGGAGGACCAGAAAACAAGACTATTAACGCCAATAACAGTTTATACGCACAATGCCTTCAACTCGAAAGATACAATGCGAAAGACGACAACCGATAACATCGCATCATGGTGCACAGATGGAGACTGGAACGGCGTAGACTCTACTGTACTCGGGTTGCACAAAAAGAGTGGACCCTTTAATGTTCTGTAATAACTTCTTTGCCTTATTGTACTATGTTCTGTTGACTTAGCTCCTTTCCCCACCCTTGTTAAATATCTAATTCAGTAACTTATTTCTGATTAATCGAAGTCACATTTAAGTTCCATCTCAAAGTTATCCCCATTCTTTTCGTTTTCGTTCTCTTCCGCCTAGTCTCTTCCTCCTCCTTTTCCTCCTCCTCCTTATTTTCCTCCTCTTCCTCCTTCTCATTTTTCTTCTTCTTCTTCTTCTTCTTCTTCTTCTTCTTCTTCTTCTTCTTCTTCTTTCTTTCTTTCTTTCTTTCTTTCTTTTTGTATCAGTTCATCTTTCTTTTAATCTTTCATTCTTTCTAAACCATAAATACACAGACATACAGTTGCACACAAATGAACGCACGGATACCCATAAGAAAACGGTTAGAAAGTCAAGAAACGCAATCTTCAACGGATACACTTTCATTCCTACCTCAGTAATCACCTTTAAAAAAAAAAAGGTTTAACGCCCTTCTCAAAACTAGTAGGTTACTGGTAATCTCCTTACATCGACCTATATAGCAACGATGACGACAAGAAAAAACACCGATAAGGACAACCACAACTCACAAATTAATCATATATGTCAACAATAATTATAGTCTTTTCTCAACAAGCAACCCCAAATAAACAAAAATGAATTACAGTTTTGAAAAAGATTAACGCTAAAGTCGCATCTTGAAACTTTTAACCCTTAACTGTTTTCATGTAGAGAAAATATAGCCTATGTCAGCAACCCCCACATTCATAAAGTTTCCCTGTCATAACGTATCACAAGATATCCGTTGGCTCGGCCTATAAAGCAGAAGCAGCTTCAAGATTTCACAAAGTCCTCTAATCGTGATTTTTCACGTGCAAGGTCAGGGTCAGAGGCTGTCACCATCTATCACATCAGCGGCAGGGGTGAAAAAAATATGATCCATACAGGAAATGAGCAAAACGGGTGGGCGGAAAATTGTGTGGGAAGGAGGGTGTTAAAAGTGGGCGAACCGGTGGCTTAGCAAATTAAGTCCAATATTCAAGCCGGCTGACCAGGAAGAGATTCCCCCCCCCCCCACACCTCTACCACGAGAACGGAGAATCAGCTTTCCAGTACTGGACGTCTATGAACATGAATGGAGAAGTTCAATACCCGGTCCTCCGAATAGTTTTTTTTTTTAAGTACTGTCATCGCTGAACCCATAATTGGTCACATAAGTGTTGGATGCAATAACAAAGTTAAATATAATCGGGGAATACAATATGAAACATTTAATAATCCTTCCATTTTACCGAAAGTAGGGTCTACATATTATGCTCACTCCATACTTGTAAAAATAGTAGAAGAGGGTAAATTTTGCTCAAAATCCAAACGAAAGACGAAAGATAAGATTAAATCACCCTTCGAGTTCTATGGGAGAGCCTCCAAAAAACAAAAGAACGTAGTAAAATCTACGGAAAGAGCAATGAACACCCCCCCCCCCCCCCCCCGACACTCCGCCATCATTTTACTGTGTATGGAAACGACAACGATCTGGTCGTCAACTGTTGAGAATACAATTTACAGAAGATAAAGAACAACTAGTTTAATTAATTACGGTAAAAAGGAGAAATTAGAGAAAATACTGTAGGTATACCTTGGGGCATATGGTGGCTAGCCCTAAAATAAGTAGGACTACCACAAGTAAAGTACACTAAGTTCTATGTCCTCCCCCCAAAAAAACAAAAACAAAACAACAACAACCAAACAAAGAAACAAAAAACAAACAAACAAAAAAACCCCAACATGAACAGTTTCCGTTCTAAGCATCAGTCTAGTTTTCATTCTGCTCAGTACATCCATCCTATGAATCAATACGAACAACCTGGTGGGCAGAAAATAAAAACCAGAAGACGAGCACATAGTTATTGCTGAACCAGCTTTTATGTTCATCAAGCCAATGTCCTAAACACAAGTCTGTACCGAATTAAGGAAAGGCCATTATTTTACGGGTAACTAGTTCGGAGATTTGGTAGATGGCTTCGACCAAGGTAACTGGCGTTTTCTGAGCGCGCTGACTCAGGTGTATTTATTGCGCCCCGCTACCTTCCGACGTTCTGTAATAACTTTCTTTCTCAATGCCGGCGGTTATCTTTTTTAACAGACCACCTCATTTAGAAGGACTAAAACAACATGCCCAGACCTATTCAGACATGTATGAAATACGTATTATCCAGCTTAAGATGGTAAGTTAACGCACCTTTACATTGTGTCAGAGTCCATGGTCTATTTATTGATTGAGTAGGTGTTTTACGGAACTATCGACTCAATTTTGGTCACTCCATGGCCTAGAGGTTAAGCACTTTGACGTCACACACAGAAGACGCCAGTTCGATTCTCGGGTTTTTTAATCGAATATTTCAGTCTGTGTGCCGGAGAGCTGTATCCGGTTTCCCTCGCATCCCCGGGTGGCCCTGACAAGGAAGGTTCAAGGCCATCTCTTATATGATCTGAATTAACTGTGTCAATGGAGGCGTAAAACAACTATATCTATTGTAAATGGATGTCACCTTTCTGTTCAAAAGGATATTGGTGAGACAAGAACACAAGCTCATGCACACACTAAGCGGCTGACTGGGATATTTACTGCCCAACGTATATACACCCAATTGGAGGACGAATATAGTAAACGCATTTGAAGGTGCGGATCGCAAAAGACACAATTCACACATGCATCTAAGTCTGAAATGCATATAATGTTTTTTCCCCCGAAAATACGCTTTATCCCATCCAGGAACTGTTCTATCCTAACCTAAGTAGAGTGGTCATTCTCCTGTTTTCTCATGGCCCACCTGATCAGTTTTTCTATAACCCAGGCGTTAAAAGCAAGAGCCAGAATTGAGTTCACTTGTGTTGCATCCTGTGCGCATCAGCCTTTATCTTTACCTAAGCAGAGATTCAATTTTATCCCCGCTTACAACCACATCCCATTTCGCCGTATCGCTATGATAGCATCGATCATGATTCATGGGGCTCATGAATAAAAGCATAAGTATTTTAACACGAAGAGGGAAAATAAACAGACAGATTTTGACGCAGCATAGACGAGAGATGAACACACTCTGCGGCGAGCATCTCCAGTAGACACTCACTTTTACGACACGTTCATCACAAGACAACGTCATAAATCTTCTCAGGGTGTCTGCGAGTAGAACACAAAGCGAGGCCGACTCCCCCCGTGGGCTCCAGATCCGTTTCAACTCATAACATGTTTCCACTTTCAGCTCACACTCCTCTTACCTCTCAGGGGTAAGCTGGCTGATCTGGCATGCTCTGGGCGTCTAATTTAGGCAGACATGTCACAAAAGTGCTCCTTGTCAGGATACAAGACTGGGACTTCAGTGTATTTGTGCTCAATTTTGAGGGAGCCAGTAAACAGACACCCTTGCTATAGAAAACGAGAGCTA